ATAGGCGAAGTGCCGGTGATGGCAGCAGCAGCAAAAGTCGATACTGGGAATGCCCTCGCGGCAAATCAAATCCTATTGCATTGCCAACATGTTGACCCAAACGCCGCGCTATGCATATTGAAAATCAATCACGTCCTACCCTTGCTCATAACTTGACTTTCTTCACGGGCTTTTGTTCCGCTGTCGCGTCGTCCTTCTTCCGCTTGAAGATGCTCTGGCTCTTCATCTGACCAAGTCCGGCCTTGTTCGCTGGTGCAGCCTTTGCTTTCAAACCGAAACTGAGCTTGACAGGCGCTGCTTCTGCCTTCCCCTCCGTGGGATCTGTCTTCTCCTCTCCTTGTGTTTGTTCGTTAGTCGGCGATTCGACCTTCTTCTCCTCCGTTGGGGACGCTCCTTCGGCTGGTGGAGTAACCTGCTGTTGTACTGCTGCTTGTGCCGCCGCTCGTTTTGCCTCGATAGCCTTCTTAGCCTCGGCTTCTTCCTGTGCACGCTTCGCCATCTTCTTCAGCATCTTGTCTTCGCCCGCACCGCTTCGTGCCTCAGCAGCTTCCATCTCTGCGATCTCGTTGCGCCTGTTCAAGGCCGCAACGGAAGTATCTCTCCAAGCGATCATCAATCCGTCCTTCTCATCTTCCTTGACATGACAGATGCCCTCACGTCCCAGGTGTTTGGCAAACTCGGTGAGCGAACTCCACTTAGTAGCGTTCATGTGGACGTGTTCCTTGTCTCGGATATACTCGTTGTAGAACTTGTTGACACCGATCCATTTCTCGTTGTGTGCTGTACGCAGAAGATTGACGAAATCCCTTTGGAACTCGTTGCTGAAGCCTTGAATGTACTTCTTAGGATCTTCGCCGACAACTTGCAAGTTTCGGACATGGCCCTCGCTCTGGACGTGGCATTTGAAGCCGTTGGCGTCGCGACATTGCTTCTGGCACGGCTCACACCACCAGCGCAAGCGCTGCAAGCCCTTTGACTTCATTTTGTTGGCCACCCATTTTGTACTGCCCGCTTCAGCCTTGCCCATGGTTGTGGTTGTGGTTGTGGCGGTGTCGACGGTTGGTTGGTGTAGAGGGTAATGCGGTTACGAGGACGGTCGTCGCGTATACGGTGTGAAATCACAGCGGATCTCGAGGATAGTCCCGTGTAGTCGTGTGGGATTCGTATAGGTAGCCGCGATGCGTGGGGCGGAAGGTCGAATGGTGATTGAAGATTGGCGTGAATTCGCAAGACTCGTAGGGCTGCTCAAGTGGCTGACTAAAGAGATCGCCACCCGCGGCTACGCTAACGCTAGGTAGAATTGGGTCCACTGCGCACGTAGGTAACTGCGTCTCGTGTGCGCACACGATACTTCGTATTTGAAAAGTTGATAGTAGGCTGTTAACAACGTCTCTAAAGGCTGGTATGGTAGGAGTACCGTCGAAGTTACCAATATTGGGGGTCCATCCAATCTCACCACGAGCACTATCTGAACGTACAGTGAAGAACCCCTTGGGACGTCTATTACCTAGGTAGTATACTAAACGGATCACGTAGTGTAGACACTTCACTTCACACCTTTCTAGCCCTTTAATGCACTTTACACAAGAACAGAACTAAACAGGTTTGCAGACTACATCGATGTGAAAACATGCGAAGTAGGTAAGCTAACGTCAATGTAGCCTCTAGGGTGTTCAGTGTTTTCCTAGGTTGACGTGGATGGATGAAGGTGAGTGCGCGGGTATCTGTTCGCTTCGGTAGGGACCTAGGTAATTGTATCACTCACACGTTACAAGGCGCCGCGCCCAACTCAGACAGTAGCTATAGTCTATCCTCCTGATAGACTCATAGCCACGACTAGCTGCAATGGCGCGAGGCCCCTCCACCAGTGCCTTTGAACAGCGAAATCGCGCCGGTCGCAAGCCGTATGAAGACAGAGGCAAGATCATCGCCTCTCTCGGATACTCCTACACTGACGCCGCTTTTGACAAGTGGCGAGACTCATCGCTCGTCAAACCGTGGTGGGAGGTCTTCGTCAGCAAGTTTCTGAAGGCCGATCTCTACAAGCCTGGTAATAGCGTTCCCACCTTCGACCATCTCTATGCACGCATCCGGGACAAAGAGTGGCGCGGCCGCATAGGATCCCTTGGGCAGACGCATTTTCCGAGGTACCACAACGAGACGGACTGGCATTCGTGGTTGTTACACAGACTTGTCGTGGAGAACACTGGCGACCGCGAGGGGTGTTTCTACTATTGGGGAAGAGAAGACGTGGAAACCGTATTCCGAACAGCTTACCACTACATCCTGTTTGCGAAATGGGAGCGCGCAACAGCACTCACGAGATCGAAATCCACGAGATCACCAAAGACGAACCCGAAGGCGATCACTGCACGTAATCCGGCGCCTTCATCAGATGACTCGGATGCTGGAGAGTGCGAACCGACACTAGGGCTTGCGTACGTGCGGTGGACTGAAGGCCGACCTTTGGGCGCGCGTTTAGCGATTGAGATCGAATCGTTTCGTAGCTATAGCTTGGAGGGCTTCCTGGAAGAGATCAACCAGCGTTTTGGGCTCAGTCACCGCAAACAGCGTTGTAAGGCGCTGGTAGCTGAGGACGACCAGGCATGCCCGGCAAAGTATGAGGTGGTAGTCTTCACGTTGGAGACTGAGGATATCGAGGTTCCGGAGGAGATATTCAGCGATGATGACAGAGTATTCCGATAGGATGATTTCATATTGGGCGAGGTATTGCCTCCGTGGAGGAGAGGGGTTACTAGACCAGGAGAAAAGCGCAGCTTATACTGAGCAACAGAACGAACATGAGCTCTGGAGTATACATTTGAATGAGAACCTAAGTTTGTAAACTCCCAAGGTCAAGTAGACTTCTGGGTCAAAAGGTAGGTGTCCGCCCTCTTCCTCGAGTAGATTATATCCATGTTAAAACAACACATACTTGAACTTCTCGAGCTTTAGCACACGAAGTTTTTGTACCAACGACCCCCTAAAGCAGAACCATCCCCTTGCATACCCGTCACGGCCCGCAGTCTTGGCTACAATCAACACTCTTCATCTCTTTCCCAACATGGCAGCAAAACAGATCTAGAACATAGGAGGAGCGGGATGTTCCAATACAACGACCAAATATCGTATGAGGTTTGCTTCCGCGGAGGCAGGGGTAGTGCTAGATCAGGGAGAAAAGTGCGAACCTCGGAAGAAGAGTGCGAAGGAGTGCGACAAAAAGTGCGACGAAGTGCGACTGTGTTCTACGGTGAGACAATCAGAAGTTACCTCTTTGGGGGCACTGGGGATGGGAAACTGAGAATTCGGTACTGATGATGATGGATGATATGGCGAACCGAGTTTTGCATGGAGGAAACGGGGCTCTGACACAGAGATGTACGCGAGACACCCCGAACAGGGTAATGCATAGTGCATATCAGAGAGGGCCCGCTATGGAAGCCGTTTGAACCGGGAGTCGCAGGTCGTAGCGTGCAGAGACACAGTACAGGAAGGCGGGAAGAGCAGTTCTGGACGGAAGGAGAAGGGTCAAGCCGCATACGCATATGCAGACATTACCGATGAACCATCAATCCTTTCTCGACCAAGAAAGAAGAAAAGAAAGCAGATACTTTACCTTTGCCTCTCCCATCCTCGACAAATCTCTTCACACAAACCCACACGTCTCACGCCCATTCGCCCCCCAAACCCCTCTCTCCATCCACCCATCACCTTAACTCACCGAAGGATTCACTTAATGCCCCCGAGAAGCACCGCAATTGACCGACTAGAATCGACACTTTTTGGCCTTTCCTTCCCCATGCAGGCAGCCTTATAGCAGATTTGACCGAAAAGGGTGGCAGGTGGAGACCGTGGAGGTGAAGTGGCAACAAAGGGAACGATTGTGGCGAAGACGCCAAGCCAACGTTGAAACCAAGGGAGCGATCCGAGAGGAGGATAGGGTAGGGTGTTCGGGTAAGAGCAGACGCCCCACTTTGCTGCGAAAATTATGGGAATGCCGATGCCTTGCCGAGCATGGCCGTGTTCCCCGGTCCAAACAAAAGGCGGCACAGACGCGGGTTTTTGTGGGAATAAAGCGGAAATGGCAAATGGTCAAGGGGCATCAGTGCGTCTTGGTGAGAATAATAAGTCCGAAGAAGAGCGACCGGAATCCATGGTTTTTGCGTTTTGTTGCCTCTTGGAGTAACAGATGGGGCCGTTATGACGTTGTTCTCGGTGCGCCTGGTGTTGCGGATGGGTTATGCTTGTACCCGGTGGTGTGGTTTTGCGTGTGGATAAGACTATTACCGTCGTGAACGGCCCTTTCACGCTCGCACGTCGGATTACGCGAGTATGTGTAAGCAGTGCCTTCCTCCGATCTCTCACAGATGCTTCAGATCGCACCCATTGTCCACGATCCAGAGATCGCCGATGTCGCCGGCTGGAATCCACGCATAAGAGCGAGGTTGCCTAACGCAGACGGACCGGATGGGTGTACCAAGGTTGGTGCATTTGACCGAACCGCTGTATGAAAAGAGACATACGCCGAGTAGGCTTACAAAATCCTGATTCTGCCGCAATCAACGGTGGAATGGAAGTTGCTGCATTGGGTAAGTAGATATTCTTGCAATCGAGATTTGAGGATCGAGATTTTGAATAGTGATCAAGTGACGGAGGGACAGAAGAGAAGATGCAGATTGGGACGGTGCAATGTGGGGACCATGAGATGTACATTTTGTAGATCATCTATGGGAGGCAGTCTGGCATTCAATTGCCCTTCTGCATATGTTGGAAGTATACCACCGTTGGGTTATGCCAGGCTCTGAGAGAGCAAGGCAACTTCAAGCATACCGTTCTGCGAGCACGAACACACAGCGTGGGTGCTGAACTGTTTCCAGGGCAAGTCAGGCGAGAATCGGCGCGGAGTGACCTATCTCTCGTGTTTGACGATGTTATGTGTGGTGTTGCGCGGGTGACGAGTCAACCACATGTGCACCCACTGCACATTATCTCCTGTCTCTTCAATCCACCCTCCGCCTAACACTCCTGTCACCATCAGCACCCATGCCCCCAACAACATCCTGCACCAGCTCCCTCAACTGCGCCTGCACCTCTTCAGAATCATAGTCTTCCCGCGCCGCGAGCTCCTCAATGCGCCTCCGTATCTCAGGATCCGGCGCATCGACAGCGTCTTCTTCCATGGTGCCAACATTCACCTTAACACCATCGGGCAGCGGGGGCGGTGGGTGAACACCCTCAGTCTCTATGACGCCCGGTGCAGCAGGTTCATCGCCGGTGCGTAGACTCCTGAGGTACTGGTACACTTCGTGTGTCTCGCCCTCCTCTTCGCCAATCTTGTCCTCTGCTGTCTGGCCCTCTTGGTTCTGTATCTTTGTGTCGGCGCCTAGTTCCTCAACAAGGCACTTCGCTACTTCGGTCTTTTCGGTCGCGAAGAGGGGAGTCTCGCCGTCTTCGTCGGTGATGTTGACGTCGGCATTGTATTTTTGGACCAGGTCGCGCAGCACGGCGAGTTGGTTGTACGAGGCTGCGGCGTGGACTAGCGAGTAGCCGTGTGCATCGCGGGCAGAGGCCAGGTGTGGGTGCTGCTCGAGCGAGGAGAGGATGGACTGCGGGCGCGTGTCGATGAGGTTGAGGAGGAGATCGATGGTTGGTGCTGGAAGCGCCATGGTGGGCTGCGCGTGAGGCTGGTCGGAAGTGCCGGGCGTCTGTGTCGGAATGCTCGGTATTCTGGGCGTGTTGGGCGATCGCGAGGGCTGCGCATTCGAGTACGCGCAATTCTGGCTGCAAATCTAAAAATGACGTGGTGGGCGGAGATGCGGAGACTTCCCTGTGGCGCTCCCCATCGCGCGGCTAGCTGCCATCCCGGCCCCCAGATCGACTAACATCTTGACTTTCATCATCGTGCATCTGCGTAATACATGCCAAACTCTATCTAATTACCACCTCCGCACATCTTTCATGTTTATGTGAACATGTAGACGGACCGCGCGGATGAACAGCTGGTGCAAGCCTCGGACACCGAAGTCAGGCCGGCGCAATAAGGAAATGTCACTGTATGGGGCGCTCTGGGCGCCAGCTGAGACATCCGGACGATCAAGACCAACGCCCAGCGCCCATCACACACAGCCTCAAACCGTCAGCCTGGGCCTTGGCCATGCTCGCGTGCCCCTTCACCCTTTTGCCCTCCGCTGCCGTGCCTGCCTCGTAATCTTTACACGTCCTAGTTGTTCTTTCTTCTTCTATTTGGTAGGCGCCATACACGTCAACACCGACCGCAGCATACCGTATACCGTATCTTTGTAATACCGTCGCACAGCGTCACCCAACGCTAGACTGTCGCCTTTGTCTTGGCCTCCTCTAGCCGCCTTAATGCGCTTGTCCCTTTGATCTATTGTCTGGACTTGACTTGCATTCTTCTCTTCTCTGTCTGTCGTCATTAGACACCCACTCTCGCAAACATGAGGACCATCAAGGGCGTCGGCGTGCCGTCGGTTCGCCTCGTCCTCTCCTACGTCTTCGACTGGATCGTCATCATCGCCATTGCAGCCATCGCCGGCGGCTGGGAATATGTCGAGCCTTTCCGACGACCCTTCTCGCCCGTCGACCTCTCGATATCGTACCCGTACCAGACCAGCGAAATGATACCGACATGGCTCCTCGTCGTAGTCTCACTCATTGCGCCCGCCGCCATCGTCATGATCGTGTGTCTTGTCTGGGTCCCTGGACCAACCGCCGAACGCGGCACACCCAAGTCGCTCATTTGGAGGAGGAAGCTTTGGGAGTGGAATACCGGTTGGATGGGTCTTGCGCTCTCGCTCGCGACGGCATTCCTCATCACACAGGGCATGAAGAACCTCTTCGGAAAGCCGCGACCTGATCTTCTGTCAAGATGTGACCCAGACCTGAGACGCATCCGGGACTTCGCTGTCAACCCTGTTGTTGATGAGGAATTCAATCCAGCTTGGGTACTCGTCACCTCAGGAATCTGCCGGAACACCGACAACGACATTCTCAAAGACGGCTTCAAGTCGTTCCCCAGTGGTCATTCCAGCTGTAAGCACACCCTCCAATCTCTACAAACACCCCGCTAACCCACTTCTTTTAGTTTCCTGGGCCGGCCTCCTCTACTTGACCCTCTTCCTCGCCTCCAAATTCTCCGTCGCAATCCCCTTCCTCCCCCATCGCCCCTTCTCCACAAACCCCGCCCACACCTCCGCCATCTCCCCTTCCAACCTCAAGAAACAAGCCACCCTCCCCATCCACAAACAAGACTCGTCTCTCTCATCCCCAACCTCCTACAACGACGACGCAGTAGTACCCATCCGCTACCAAAACGCCGCTCCACCCGTTTACACCCTAGTCCTCATCTTGGTCCCCATCTGCGCCGCCATCTACATAACAAGTACCCGCTTTACCGATTTTCGCCATTTCGGTTTTGATATGTTGTTTGGTACGCTGATTGGCGTGACGTGTGCGTGGTTTTCGTTCCGATGGTATCATCTGCCCATTACACGGGGTGCGGGTTGGGCCTGGGGACCTAGGAGCTACGATCGCGCCTGGGGCATCGGTGTTGGCAGGGGTAGCTACGTTGGCACAGAGGGCTGGAGTAGGAATGGAGGCAGTGAGACTGCGCTCAGGAGACGCGCGGATGCCCAGGGTACTGCGAACGGGCACAGTGTGGATGAGAGTGAGTTGGGTGTGCTGAATCGTAATGGCGCGCCGCATGCTGGGAACCCGCCGAGTTCTATGCACTCGAGAGTTGGTACTGCGCAGGAGGTTTGATCTTTCTTTCTTTTAATACCACGTAATGGATTGGGAAGCATGGCGTTTGGTGGATTGCGTTTCTTGGACAGATAAGGAAAGAGGTGGTTATCAGAGGTGTTGTATACCAGGTTGGCTACTTTGCACATATTAGAGTGCACACTCAAAGAATTGAGAAATTTAATTCATTGCTCTAGAGAATGTTATAGTGATGAACTGGCTGTTGACTATATGGTATTTTACCCGAACTGAAAGGGAGAACTGTGCCGCCACGTGCTTGAGTTGACAGCCTGTGTGGATCGAATTGCAAATGAGATGGAATCGAATGAATAGACAACCAATGAAACCGGAAGTAAGAACCGAGACGCGAGCTGATTGCACGAAATACTGTACCTACCAGTAGGAGATGAAAGTAAAGGTCGCTTGGGGTGTTGTCGCTTTGGGCTATCATGTCATGTCAAATCAACTGTACTTTTGTATGCTGCTACGTATACCTCTCCACCTATCGGCAGTTGAATACCCTCTGCTCCACGGTCTTGTTGAAAAGACGAGCTGCCTCACCTTCTTCTCCTCTGCTATCCATGCGTGTATGGACGGAGACAGAATGCGTTCACATATGTCCCGGCGAAGCCATGCGGAGAGCACATTCGTCGCACACCATCCTGTTGTATCGGGTCGGCCACTGTAGAACCTCATCATCTACAAGCCCTTCTTTCCCTTGGCCCTTTCTTCCTCGCGCTTCTGGTAGATCATACCCGTGAATGGGTCCTCCCACCTGCACGCAATCGAGTATGCAGTGTGGACGATTGCGGTAAGGAAGATACCGGCTGGCTTTCCGTACCAGATAGCTGTGGCCAAGAAGGACATGGCTGAGCCGTGGTACATGGGCGAGCTGGAGACGTTGAAGGGGAATGTTGTCACAGGCTCGTCCATGAGGATGCCAAAGTAGTCTCCGAGGTAGGTTCCGGTGACACCGAGGGCCCACATGGAGGTCAGAACGAGGGTATTTCCCATGGCGAAGAGGGGGATCGCGGAGTACTTGATGGCGGGGGCTAGGAGGGTTGGGTGCGTGGGTTGCTCAGCGAGAGCTTCATTGTAACTGTGAACAAGCAGTCAGTATATCGACTCGCTTGGGCAAAGGTCCATGTCTGGAGACGGTGGTAGCCTTGTACGTACAGATAGTCTCGGAAGATACCCAGCGAGAAGATGGTCACGGCGAGCGCATAGCATCCAAGGCGGGGGTTACCACCAAAGAGCTTCGTGATAACTTTGTTGTGGTATTCTGAATACTGTTAGCCTTCCTCGGTTCCGTCTTCTGCTCTACGACACCCAGCAGCCTCCCGAGGCTCGGCTATAGCCGTAAAAAGCAACGATGGAGTTATGTACCTTGCTGCGCAGCGATGCTGAAACTTGGTTAGTGTCTGTGAGGGAGAATGGTCGATTGTACTTACTTCCAGAACGTAGGGTTGAACACGATGCTCGCGGCAGACACTGCCACATGTTAGCTGTCGCATCCGCGGCTGCGGGGATCTGGATGTTGACACTTACCCCACAAGCTGGGCTTGCTGAAGTCAATGTACGAAGTCATGGTGGTGAGAAGGGTTCGGAAGGCTACAAATCATCAAACTGCGATAGCAGCAAATGTAGAAAGAGGGTGAGATCCAACATGCGAAAGCTGTGGGGGGATGCCTAGGTGTTGACAGCTTGCCCGGCAGATGAACATGTGGAGCTATGACGTCTCGCTAATCCGCATGTTCAGCAATCGCGGAAAGAGCGCCTCACGCATTATCGGCTAACGGCAATGTGTTCGTGTATGATTGTATTGTTTTAGTTTTTATTGATGACTCAGTTCTGATCTCTATGATGCGTTCGTGTTCTGCAGCCTTTACTGCGGGGTATACCATGTCTCTTAATGATGAGAAATTCAAAGAACGCCCTAATTAACAGTGTATTTCCGACCAGGTTCAATACGTCCAGCAGGCTCGCTGTTATCCATCACAGCTAAGATTCTTCTAAATCCTACACCATGGCGTTGTGACCAACAATCTCCGACGAACTCAACGTCTACAAACCGTTGTCGGCGCACGTGAAAGGTCCACCAAAACCATCGGCCTTGTAGCCGTCAATAATAGACTGGACAGTTGCGTATGTGCCCGCAGTCAGGAACAACAGGCCGATGAGGCAAAGTGCGACATTGAAGAAGAACCCGGCATATCCCTTCCAACCGCGGACCTTCCAGAAGTTTGGTCCGTGAGCCTCTCTGCGAAGACGGAAATACGCTACGCCCCAGAAGATGAATCCGAAGAACGAGTCGAACAGCGAGCTCATAAGCGAGAGCAGGTCGGAGAAGAACGGAATGACCTCGGCGATGATGAAGGCGAAAACCCAGAGCACAGCGAGGATTGCGATCCACGTGAGCCATCCGGCCATGGTGTGACCAGTCCTGTGTCGGGACTGAGAACCGTAGATGCGGAACAAGACAAAGCGGGCTGTTACGGAAGCATACAAAACACCGAGGAAGATAATTGTGGGTACCATGAAGGTAAAGGATACCTTCTTGTAGACCTCGTTGGAGATGGAACCGAAGGCCGGGGAAGTCATGTAGTTGGTACCAGTGTAACCGTATACAACACCTCCGACGAGACTGAAGACGAGAACCTCGCAGATGGTGACGGCCCAGAGCGCCTTGGGGAAGTCCTTGGGTTCCTTCATCTCGGCGATGAAACTAGGGAGGGTAATTTGACCAATGAAGGTATAACTAATGTTCATGAAAGCACTCATGCCCATAACGAAAGTGGTTCCAGCTGGGGGTATAGCGTAGACCTTGAGAGGATCAGCGGGGTCATAGCCTGCGGGTTTTCCGTCAACACCGGAGAATGCTGCCGCGAGGATGACGGAGATGAAAGTGAATCCTGCGGAGGCAGTCGCCAGCGTAGCGAGGGTGCTGAAAGTTCGCGGAAGCGAAGCCGCAAACGAAATAATGGCAGTGATCGCAGCGAAGGCGATAGTGCAGGTGCCGTGTCCAGTGATAGTGTTCCACCATTTGGCTCCGACAAGGCAGTGTAGACCCATGATGAAAACATCTAGGGAAAAGTCAGTACTGGTTGCTGCATGTTGACAGGGGTGGTCGCTTACTGTTCAGGACAAACATGACTGCTGTGGCGTAAAAGGCCCATTTCTTGTTCCAGAAGAGCATCTGACCAATGTCACAGACGTCGCGAATCTGGGGGTGGCGCATGCAGAATTCCCTAGATTGTGTAAGTATGGCGTTTGCGGATGGGATGTTGAGTGCGCGTACCAGGTGGTCAGGGACGTGTACAGGACGAGACCGGCAATGACGAAAGTCAAGATCAAGCCAGGAACGAGACCGAGGATCGAGTAGGACCAGGGGAAAGACATGATAGCCAGGCAAATGTACTCGGAGAACAACAGAGCCGCGGTCTTTGGCCAGCTGCAAGTACGGTACTTGATGGCGTTGTTGGCTTCCAGTTCGATCTGCCTGCCGATGGTGATGCTAGCGTCAGAGTCGGCGTCGGTGGATGTAGGTAGAATTCCTCCTTGGGCTTCGGCGTCGTAACCCTTCTCTTTCTCGAAGGCGACTTTTTCATTACTGCTTTGGCTGTTGTTGTCGGCGGGCGAGGCCTTGCCGCCGAAGAGAGACTTCAACGCCATTTTACGCAACGGATACACCTCTTGTAAGGAGTGTAGTAGGAAGAACGACGGTTGGTCGCTTCTGGGAGCATTAATTGCGTGTTCAAAATCCGGGCAGGGGAGTGTCGGAGTGGGTTGGGCAAACGATGGAGAGGCGGCAGGAAGATCGTTAAATATGCGCGGGGGCAAGGTGATAGCGGGTGCAGGGAGTTGAGCAGTGGAGGAGCGTAAGCTAGGGTGCTGGGATGGCTATTCCAAAACTTGCGGGGGCAGAGGAGAGTTCGGTGAAGGCGAACAGGGAAGGCGCAAGAGTGGGGACTGCTTTTGCCTGGTGGCGCCTACCGAGTTTGAGCGCGCCTATGAAGACTCGCACAAACACCAGCCGTTCGCCGCGCTATGACCGCTGCACTGTCGTCTTTTCCCGCCCTCAAGCTATGAAATCTCAGTGAAATCCTCTGCCCTGGCGCCGCGAGTGCCGCTTCGTGTGCTTTAATCGCATTAGTCGATTAGTACCGGGCGAGCGTGACGTCCGACGCATCGCTACCGCTTCAACGGCACAGATCTGCCATTTCACTGTCGCGCACGTGGAGAGTCTGGCCATGCACCAGGTCGTTTGTCGAAGACTCATTACGTCAATCGTCAAATCCTCGAGATAGCCAGACCGGTGGCGCTGCTGCGATGCCGCATTCCTGCGTATCTGTCACACCCTCTTCATATCGGCACACCGTTGTACTGGCTCAAAAGTCAGGTTCCCAGGCTTGACATCACTGTGGCGCCCGCTAAGCTCGATTGCTAAGCTCAATCCCACCACCGGTAAGCCTGGCTTGGCTTGCTTAGCTTACGCCATAACGCGGGCGAAATACCACCTCCAAGCCTCGCCAATGCACAGCACCCAGCATCTGATCCTTCCGATTTTGCTTATCTCGACTGGCCACACAAACGCCGTGTCGCGTGCAAATTATGGACTCCCCAGGAAGTTCTATCCGTCTAATCGGATTTAACTCAATATCGCAAAGGAAACGGCAAGAACCACAGTGTCTGCCACGTTGTAGGGGTTATTGTCCTGCAGGGTACGGATCCGCTATCTAGACAGCCGTGGACGCTCCCGACTATCGTACTCCGAAACAACGCCCTGCAGCATCGTACATCTTGACGCTGTATTTGCCAGACGGTTGGCCTTACGACCAAGTAGCGAAAGCGAAAGCGCACGCAAGATTGCGTGATCGTCTATATTGTTGTCCTGGGCGCTGCATGGCTTATGCGCATTGCTGATCTCGACTTGGCAGTTGTAGAGGGACCCTGTCTCGTGCGCGTTCACAGTCACGTACACTACGGGTATAGACCGGAAGGCTGCGCTCGGGTGAGATAGGGAAGCGACGTGATAGAGACCCCAGATTCTGTGAAGCTTTGAAAATTGATCCGTGTATTACTTCCATAAGAGGTGCTCGAGTCCACATAGCAAACGAATACCCAATCGACAAGCCAGCGACAGCTCGCTCCACGGAGTGCGAGCAACCAACTCTGTCTATTCACAAGACGGTCTCCTCCGCAGTCGCTCGTTCTTTCAGAAGCTCCTACTACGGGACACAGACCCAACGACAAACCCGAGAACGCTTGCGTCGCATCGTCCAAGGACGGAAAGATAGCTCACAGATTCTTGCAACACAACTCCTCCGCATCGCATCGACCCGTCAAAAACTAATATCTGCCCCGAAGTAACCCAAGCGCTTAATCGAAGAACCGTTGACGGTTCATTCCGTAGTACCCTATTAGCCAGGCGATGATGACGCGTTGCGCCGTTGAAACGCCACTGGCACGTGGTTCTTGAGATAGTCGTTGGAGCCGTCCAAGCGTAGTCGTGGGTAGGGCATGGGCTAGATACACGGAGAAAAGGGCTGTCGTGTCTAGAGTACGAGTAGCCACCACGCGGTCTCAGACTAAATAAACAGGGCGTCGCGCAAAAACGAACATGGTTTCCGAGTGCTTCCCATAGGCAGTTGTTGGTGTACAGCGGCTTGATATCCGTCTTGTTCAATATGTTCTAGCGGATACCTTGTATCACTTGTACCATCTCTCGCATGATTTACTACACCCCAGAAACTAGACGCCCGCTAATACGCCACAAAAGACCACTCTTTCCATTCCCACATCCACACGCACATCTACAATTCCCTCAGATCAAACTATCTCCTCCACTACCCCAGTTCATCTGTTGCTGGTTCTGCTGCTGCTGCTGCTGCTGCTCTTGTTGTTGTTGTTGTTGTTGTTGCTGACTCTGCGTCTGGGCCCTCAGACTCGCCATACTATTCATCCCCATACCCATCCCACCCCCCGAACTACTTGCCGTCCGACTCCCCATCGGCGGCGGCGCAATACTGAAAGACCCCGTACCCGCTGGCTTAGCCGGCGGAGGCGCGATGCTAAACGAAGAATAAGGAGATTGCGTGCGTGACTGTGAGGGCGGTGGGGCTATAGAAGGAAAACTCGATAGCGAATTCGTTGTGTTTGCGTTGTTGCCCCAGGTATTTGAGGATGACATTGTGGTGCTGCCGCTTGCTTTGCTCCAGTCGATGCCTCCGCTCTGTGTGGGGTTTGTGTAGGAGGGCGTTGTAGCTGTAGGGGATACCATGTTGTTCATGCTCATGGCCGGTCGGATTGCCTGTTGTTGAGTGAAAGATGAGCTACCGATGCCTGGGTTTGCCGCGCTAAGAGCCGGGAACGAGGAGTTGAGCGTGTTCAATGTGTTGTCTGGAGTGATGGCCCTGCCGTGTGGTTTCGAGGCACCGAGATTGGTGTTTGGTGGTGGGGAGACGGGAGGCGTGGACCACGAGAAGGTTGGGGCTGGAGATGCGTTGTTGGATCTGGTTCGGTTGGTGGATGGGCGCGAGGGGAGGATGGTGGACGATGCAGCTGATGCGGAGGCGTTCGCCCATGGGTCTCCACCTAGCATGTCTGTACCACCCGATGGCCCTTGCTGTCCTCCACGAACAAGTGCTTCGAAATCCGTGTCCCCGTTCCCGTTGCTAGTATCGAAACCGTTGGTCGCTGATGGGCCGCCAAAGGACATGAACTCGTTGCGTGTAGTTGCTGTGGACCCGTTTGCGCCGAGCTCTTGCAGTTTGCGCGTCTGTTCGTTTTCGACGCGAGCGGACGTCGTCTTGATGAGGTTCATATACGCTTGGAACTGCTGCAAATTGAGCAGCGGTCCTAAACTGAATGACCACAAGATGGGGAGTACATCCATAGCGAGGAAGTCACTGTCAACTTGGTGGCTGATAGCCTTGAAGACGTCGAGTGCTGCCATCTGTTGATGTGTTAGCGTGTTGTTCACGACTGACGTGTTTCTGATGGCATACCATAACGGCAGGCTCCTTCGTCTTGATGGCACGTAGTAGCGGCACAATCTTCTCCTGGATAGTGTACTTGTCGAGAATCGAAACGTTGGAGCTTTTGGCCTTGGGTGCTGCTACCACTCCAGTGAGGCCATCACCTTGAAAGTCGTCCTGCTGATCATTTCCTCCACCACAGAGTGTCTTGAAAGCCTCTAGCCCGCGTATCTTGATACCCATACTGCTGGTCTTTGCAAAGATGCTGGCAATCACAGGGAACAGCTCGTTCTTGACAGTTGAAAAGTCTAGTATCGGCAAAACGATAGGCAGCGTGCGCAGAGCTGCGTCGACTAGCGAATGAGTAGGCGATTCGAGCGCATGGTTAATGATTGGAAGAATATCGTCTTTGAATTCTTTGCCGCTCGAGTTATCAGCAGCGATCTGCATGTTCTCAAGAAGCACCATGAGGCCAGCTTCTTTCAGGCTATCCCTCTCCTGAGCTGGGGCTTTCGAGTTGGCAGCCGGGCCACTCAGGAATGTCTCTCGCAGCTTGGGTATCACCTTCTCGGTAAATGCTCGCTTGCCAGATGGAAGCATAGTGATGATCTTGAAGACGTTTTGCAGTATCAGAGTGAGAAGCTCCCGATCCTTCATCTCCTCAAGTAGAGCAGGTAGTATCTTCTTGTCAAGTACCGACTTGGGGAACTGGTTCAGGATACGCGGCAGACCACGCATGAACTGTGACTTCTCATTGGGTGTCTTCCCAGGGAGTCCGTCAAGGAAGCGTATTGTGGATACTAGGATGTTGTCGAAGTACTGTGCTTGTTGAAACTCTCGTGCATCCATGCGCGACGCCGGCCGCCGTGTTATCAAGCGATCTAGAACGCCGTTGACGACATCTCGCGGTAACGGTTGCGAAGACATGAAGTTGTTCGTCTTACTTGGAACCGAGGAAGACGAAGAAAACGCCCGCTTGTAGGAGGAGGAACTACCATTGAAGTCCAACGGGCTCTTGTGCGGCGAGTTGTATAGTGCAATGATGAGCATGCCCAGACTGAACATGTCTGCCGCAGGGGTTATGTTGTTGTCCATGACGAAGTCGGGCGAAGAATAGTCTATGTTCAGCTGAACGTGTCGTGGCAGGCGAGCGTCGTAGTTGAGGACTTCTGAGAGCGAGATGGGCGTAACGGAGGTGGGCTTCGTCGAGTTCTCTGGAGGTGTTGAGAAACCAAGACCTGAGATTTTCCAATCAGACTGTCACGGTTATCAGCAAAGTGTTCGTTAAGATTGGTGGTATTGTGGCTACCTACTTTAGCGTTGATGAAGATGGCATCTGGCGTCAAGTTCGCATGCACCAGTCCAGCGCTCTCGTGCAGAAACTCCAAGCCCTTTGCGATTTGTAACAGCCCTTTCTGTATCTCGAGCTCGTCGATTTCGAGCTCGCGTCTTCGCTTCTGGCCGTCGGCTTCTTCAATAACGTATCGGCTGCGGCGTCCACCAACACCGCCTGCCTTCTCCTGTTCGTCCTTTTCTTGTAACAGTCCAGCGAGCGATGCGGTGACAGGTTCTGTCGCGAACATGAGGCCGCCCCCACGGGTCTCCTCGACAGGCTCAGCCAGCTCTAGCACGCTTGGGTGCCGTAACCGAGCTAGAGAACTGGCCTCTTTCTTGAGTCTCTCCACGACCTCCTCATGCGCGCGTTTGAGTCCCGAAGCCGCTGAGCGTCCACCGAAGCCTGCGCCAGCTGGTGGCTCCAACGACTTCTTCTCGAACACAAAGACAGATGCCGCCTTCCCCGTCGACTTCTTCTTCGCGTCGTATATCTTCCATGGCCCTGAATACGACGTGGGCTGGGGGCTGAGGGTGTAGTTGCTCGAGATGTTGGAAGTGAAGGACTTTAGGGCGTTGGAAAACATGGTGCTGGTGGTCTATTCGCGCGCGCGGCGATACTGTGGGAGTCGAGCGAGGGCGTCATGGACTGTGATGTTTGGCGTGGGCAGTGTTGGTATGCGCGTGAGATCTGAGACAGACAGCTGGAACTGCCGAGAGGATCAAGACATTCGGGACGCTCTTTCCGCAAAATGTCTTGGGATAATCACCAAGGAGTCGCGCAATGTCTAGACTCGTCGGTACGATGCCGGAGACCCAAAAGTCAATTGATAGACAAAGCCAAGTGTTAGTTCCCCCACGCGAGCTGTGGAGAAGGATCCATGGATGCCAGGGCCGCCTCTAGTCTCCCGCCTTGCATGACGTGAGCGCACGCAGCACACATGGGCAGTGTGGATGCAGCAACGGCCAAGATACCAAGCACGCGAATAACCTCAGATATCCGCGCTGACGATGATTCAGATGTCGTTCGCGCCCTACGATTGCCTGTTCGGTGGCTGGTGCAGTGCGCGATCGGAGGTGACTGTCGCGACTGTGTCGCGAGGTCCGATATCTCCAGGCTGCGGTCAGCTTCGGTCTTGTAGCCCAAAATAATTATTACTCTGGAATCCACCACCTGCACCAACTCTCCTCCCGCCCCACCCTCTCCGCTTGCACTGCATCCCTCACAATGCTTCCGCAGCGGTCTTCACGATTGCTCTCTTGCATGTCCCGTGGCGCCTTCCGTTCGCCTGTAGCACCGTTCAGCGCGTCGCTGCGATGTCGGACCCAGCGACCCTACAGCATTCACGCTGACAAGTCTGTTGGCGAGAAGATACAGGATATCGACCCGACCAAGCTCTCCATAACCAAGACGACGACGCCAAAAGATCTGCTGCCGCATGAGGAACTTGTCTTTGGCCGCAACTTCTCTGGTAACAGCTCCAATGGCACCAAACTTCACATCTAACGCGTACTCAAGATCACATGCTGTCGCTCGAATGGACAGCAACAGAAGGATGGCTGCCAGCACGCATTACCCCCTACCAGAACCTCAGTCTCGACCCCGCGACGTGCGTCTTCCACTATGCGTTCGAGTGCTTCGAGGGCATGAAGGCCTACAAGGACAAGAACGGCAACATCAGACTGTTCAGGCCGGACAAGAACATGGCCAGGCTGAACAAGTCATCGGCGCGAATTGCATTGCCCACATTCGACCCCGATGCCTTGATCGAGCTCATCGGCAAGTTTGTGAAGGAGGATGAGCGTTTCGTTCCCGAGTACGTTCAGTCTGAATCCTCAGTTGGCTATAACACACTCTGACCACACCAGTGCGCGAGGCTACTCTCTCTACCTTCGCCCAACGATGATCGGCACTCAGCGCACCCTCGGCGTCGGCCCTCCCGCGTCTGCACTACTCTACGTGATTGCTTCCCCCGTCGGCCCATACTACCCAACCGGATTCAAGGCTATCTCGCTCGAGGCTACAGACTACGCTGTGCGCGCATGGCCTGGAGGTGTTGGAGACAAGAAGCTTGGTGCCAACTACGCACCTTGCATCGTCCCGCAGATGCAGGCTGCAAGCCGCGGTTTCCACCAGAACTTGTGGCTGTTTGGAGAGGAAGAGTTCATTACCGAGGTCGGTACTATGAACCTGTTTGCAGCCATCAAGAACAAGGAGACAGGAAAGCCAGAATTGCTCACTGCGCCTCTCGACGGAACTATTCTTGAGGGAGTAACGCGAGACTCAATCCTCGAGCTTGCGCGGGAACGTCTGGTGCCCAAGGGCTGGACCGTATCGGAGCGCAAGTTCACCATGAAGGAGGTGGCCGACGCCGCCAACGAGGGACGCATGATGGAGATCTTCGGTGCAGGCACTGCTGCCATTGTCGCCCCGGTACGCAAGATCAGCTGGAAGGGACAGCTTGTCGACTGCGGACTGGAAGACCACGTCGAAGCCGGCCCAATTGCACAGCAGATGAAGGACTGGATGGAGGCCATCCAGTACGGCGACGAGGACCACCCGTGGAGGTATGAGCTTCCCCGTCACTCTGCAGATGATTCGCTAACATGACAACAGTTACAAGGTGATATAAGCAAGTAGTTGATATAAATGCGATGTGTTGAGCGTGCATGTTTGCGCAATAGACTGTATATACATGAGACCCGGTCGTAGCATGAAAAAAGATATGTGGCCCCTGGCGCATTGACATTGGCGACGGTGATGGCACAGTGACTTCGCGATGGTGGGGTAGAGGATGCGATGCAGAGCGTGCCTGACTACGCCCTCCTTAGATGACGTTCCTGCTAGTCTCTCTAGCTCCCAACCTCTCGTTACACCGCCGACGGTCCAACGCCTAAACACCCCGTCAATTGCCCGCCCAGAGCTGCGCCGCCGCTCGTCAATCCCACCACCACGCGCCCCGACGACACGCCCCCGAATTCTCGGGATGCTGGCCGGCGCACTCTGCCGCTTGGCAGCCGACGCTCCCAGGGCCTCCCCACACGACATGCCGCAGCTCGCCCGCACCCTCGCCCGCACCCTCCTCGCCCGCAATGCCGCCCAACTCCCGCATGCGCGCGCCCTCTCACGCGCCTTTGCCTCTGCCCTCCAGAACCGTCGGTCGTATGCTACAACTACGCGCGCCACCAAGCCCACGGCGACAGTGAAGAAGGCGGTCAAGACAGCCGCCGCTAAGAAGCCTGCGCCCAAGAAGACGACCACAACAGCAAAGAAGGCGGCTCCCAAGAAGAAGCCCGCAGCAAAGAAGGCGGCGCCCAAGAAGAAGGCAAAGAAGCCTGCCGCGAAGAAGCCCGCGCCCAAGAAGCGCGTCAAGAAGGTCTTGACGCCCGAAGAACAACAAAAGGTCAAGCTCCGAGAGCTACGCGCCAAGGCACTCAAGGAGCCCGTAAGCCGCAGGTCATTGTCTGCTCTTCATGTCTTCTTAGCTGAAAAGCTGGCTGGTGTTCCGGGCCAAAAGACTGGGCAACTTCCGGCTGCTACGGCCGAGTTCCAGAAGTTGACCCCCGCTGAGCTTGAGGTAAGCCCTGTCCGCCTCACAGTGCATCACACTATACTAACTGTCTGAAGCACTACAACCACCTCGCAAGCGAGAGGACTGTCGCTAGAAGAGCCGAGTACGACGCATGGCTCAAGGCCTACACTCCCGACCAGATCCGCATTGCCAACAACGCACGTGCCCAGTTACGGAGGATCTATGCGAGTGAAAAGAAGAAGGCTCCTGCTCATACTGCCAAGCTCCTCGATGAGCGTCATGTGAACAAAGTGATACCCGCCTATGCCGCCTTTGTCAAAGAAAGGTTTGCCTCCGGAGACTTCAAGAACATTTCCCCTCTCGAGGCTATGAAACTCATCTCCCAAGAGTGGAAGTCTTTGGGCGCTGCTGAGAAGAAGGTATGCATAACAAACACGACATTGATACAGGCTCTAACATATCCATAGAAATACACAGACGCCTACGCTGCTCAGAAGAACGCTGCGGCATCCGCATAATACGTCTAGCGGCAATCGCTTGTAGCGCCTGCTTCTCCATCACCTCTCTACTCAGAGCCGCATCGATTTCCTTTGTCAGTCATGATTTGGGCCTCCATGATACCGTGTATGTTCAGTCTGGATATTGGACCTCACCTGGTGTTCTGGTTCAAGGCGGTGGGTTCAAGGTTGGAAATGGTAAGATTCCTGTAACAGAGACATGTCCATGTAGTTTCTCAGAGTACTGCAATGCTTCTTCTGCGATTGTGGTTTATTCTAATGCAATCGCGAGTATTGAGAGTTGGTGTAGTTGCACAGGAAGTGACATTGCGCACCAATCATCTAGCGTGCTTTCCTTATCTCTACTACCCCCAGCCAAGCCCAGCAATCATCCCATCCCACAACGTTTACCCCAGGCTTTGCGAGTAGATCTATTTCCGCGGCAGATAAGCGTGCGTTCGGGGTATGCTTGTCTGCGTCATTAGACAAGCCACCTGGGAGCTTTCGATATGTACCTCAGTTATCTGCATCATGCTGTCTTCTATTTACTCTCCTTGATACATCATTCAAATACACAGCCATGGCTTCTGATGAAGAAAACGGACACGAACGTACCCCTCTCCTCCAACAAGCTCGACTATCCCATCTCCAACATGAACAAGACGAAGAAGCATCCTCAATCATCGCATCCACGGTAACGAAAGAAGAACAGCAATTAGCAGAAAGTCCAGTCGGAGAACGATTACCGTATAATGATTACACTACCATCGACTGGCTACACGATTTGGTACTAACACATCTCGTTAAGAAACCCACACGTGCATGGGTATACTAATTCGCAAACCCAGGTAAAAGACTCGTACCGCTACCGCGCCCTCTACTCCCATCCTGGTCTGCGCTACAAACTGCTCACACTCCTCGACGCCAGTTCTGGCTGGCTCGCCGTAGTAGTCATCGGCGCATTGACAGCATGTATCGCCTTCCTCGTTGACATTGCTGTCGTGACTGTCTCGGACTGGAAAACCGGGTATTGCTCTGGCCATTTCTTGCGGAACAGAGAAAGTTGCTGTGTTGCTGCTGAGAAGAGCCCGTCGCCGTTTTTGACGAAAGAGAAAGGGGAAGAATGTGCAGACTGGAAAGTCTGGAGCAAAGACTACAAGAGCAGTTTTGCAATCTACGTGGGCATGGCGATGGCATTCGGGATCATCAGTTCGAGCCTAACCATGTTGACTCGGTCTACCCTCCCATCTACCTCATCCTCTCAGCCAACGAAGAACGCAAGCAACGGCCATCCTACGTCTTCCACCTCTCCCTCCGCCAACCCACCCCCCACACCAACCGTCCAAGGCAAAACAATGTACCTAGCCTCCGGCTCCGGCATCCCCGAAATAAAAACCATCCTCTCCGGTTTCTCCATCCCCTCCTTCCTCTCCCTCCCCGTGCTGATCGTAAAATCCCTCGGCGCAATCTTCGCCGTATCCTCGTCCCTCTGTCTGGGAAAAGAAGGCCCCTTTGTCCACATCTCCACCTGCATCGGCCACCTCGTCGGGCGTCTAATCCCAAAATACGCATCCAATGGCCGCAAGATGCGAGAGCTGCTCAGCGCGGCATGCTCAGCGGGACTGTCAGTAGCGTTCGGTGCGCCGATCGGAGGCGTGCTGTTCAGCTACGAGGAGATTAGCACGTATTTCCCGCGGAAAGTGCTGTGGAGGGCGTTTCTGTGTAGTCTTACTGCAGCGATGGTGTTGAAGGAACTCAATCCAACCGGTACGGGCAAATTGGTGCTTTTTGAATCGCGGTTTGGGGATGAGTACAACGCCATCCATTACTTCGTTTTCGTCCTCTTGGGCGTAGCGGGCGGTATCTTCGGCGGCCTGTTTTGCAAGTTCAATTTCCTGTGGTCGAAGTGGTTCAGGGCTTTTGGCGTTATTAAGAGATGGCCTGTGTTGGAGGTTGCGTTGGTGGTGCTTGCGACGGCGCTGATTCAGTATCCTAATCCGTTGACAAGGCAACCGGGGGATGTGATTATTAAGAATTTGTTGGTGGATTGTGGGGAGGATAAGTCGAGTTTGTCTTGGGTTTGCCGGAATGAGAGGGTTGCTAGGGAAAGGGGGACGGCGAATTGGGAGTATGTGGGTTGGTTGACGTATGGGACGTTGGCGAAACTTGTTCTTACTACTATTACGTTTGGGATCAAGGTCCCGTCTGGCGTTATTATTCCAGCGCTGGATGCCGGTGCTTTCTTTGGGAGGCTGGTTGGTCAGGCTATTGGCTCGATCAGTCCGGGTATCTTCGCCATGGTGGGTGCTGCTGCGTTTCTGGCGGGTGTATCCCGGATGACTATTTCCCTCGCTGTTATAGTAAGTCTCTTCATCTCCACTTTCTTTCAGTATTCATTGTCAACTAACATCCATCTAGATGTTCGAACTCACAGGCCAGCTCTCCTACACCGTCCCGTCCATGCTCGCCATCCTAACCGCGAAATGGGTCGCCGACGCAATCTCGTCAGAAGGCGTCTACGACCTCGCTCAATCCCTACTCTCTCACCCTTTCCTCGACCCAGACACCGCTCTCTCCATCGTCCGCCGCCACAAAGCCTGCGTCGAGGTCCTCATCCCCCCTCAGCGCACCATGGCTGACATTACCGTTCATGTACCTACAAGCAATAAAGTAGCTCTGACTCTGCTGAAGGAGAAGCTCGATGCGTTGAGAGAACGGGGTCTCATGGACGCGGGTCTTGTTCTAGTACAGAAGAATGGTGGCGGCGTTGAAGTGTTGCAAGGGTACATTTCGCAGTCGGAGCTTGAATTTGGATTGACGAAACTCGTTCCTGGTGTGCTTGTGTCGGCGCAGGAAGAGGATGTCCAGGTCAGGTTGTTAGGCCAGGAGATTGATGAGCCAGCGAGTCCCATGAGCTTGGAGATGGATTTGACGCCATTTGTGGATCGGACACCATTGAGCATCTGTGCGAAAGCACCTCTGGAATATGCTGTCGAGATGTTCTCCAAGCTGGGGTTGAGATACCTTATGGTGACCAAAGAGGGCACAGGACAACTGGTGGGTGTGATTATCAAGAAGAGGCTCGTAGGTTACCTAGAACACCTGCGAGAACATGGCGAAGGAGATTAATAGGACGTAATTGGTACACACAATACACCATTTAGTGGACAATATTTGATTATAGCATCTTTTCGCTAACAAGAAGCTGAGACGCCTGCCATGTCTGTCTAGTCACTTTCGCAACATGTCGGATCACAGCCAGGTCGCTCAAAGTACGAATCGAATTACAACGCTCGTGTCCACACGTGAAATATTCCAACAACCAAGCCCAGCGGGACGTCAGCCATGACCAGCTTACTCCTCAGCCTCGAGAGGAGCCTCCTCATCGTACTCGTCCTCACCCTCGGAGACGGAAGCCTCCTGGTATTGCTGGTACTCGGAGACCAAGTCGTTCATGTTGGACTCAGCCTCAGTGAACTCCATCTCGTCCATACCCTCACCAGTGTACCAATGCAAGAAAGCCTTGCGCCTGAACATGGCAGTGAACTGGTCACCGACACGCTTGAACAGCTCCTGGATGGAGGTCGAGTTACCGACGAAGGTGGAGGACATCTTGAGGCCGCGGGGAGGGATGGAGCAGAGGGCGGTCTGGACGTTGTTGGGGATCCACTCAACGAAGTAGGAGGAGTTCTTGTTCTGGACGTTGCGCATCTGGTCCTCGACCTCCTTCATGGAAACCTTACCACGGAAGTAGGCAGAGCAGGTCAGGTAGCGACCGTTGCGGAAGTCGGACGCAGCCATCATGTTCTTGGGATCGAACATCTGCTGGGTGAGCTCGGGAACGGTGACGGCGCGGAAGGAGTGGGCGCCGCGGCTGGTGAGGGGAGCGAATCCGACCATGAAGAAGTGGAGACGGGGGAAGGGAACCATGTTGACGGCCAACTTCCTCAGGTCGGAGTTGAGCTGACCGGGGAAACGCAGGCAGGTGGTGACACCCGACATGACGGCGGAGACGAGGTGGTTCAGGTCGCCGTATGAAGGGTTGTTCAGCTTGAGGGTGCGCATGCAGATGTCGTAGAGAGCCTCGTTGTCAATGCAGAAGGTCTCGTCGGAGTTCTCAACCAGCTGGTGGATGGAGAGTGTGGCGTTGTAGGGCTCGACAACGGTGTCGGAGACCTTGGGGGAGGGCACGACGGAGTAGGTGGCCATCATGCGGTCGGGGAACTCCTCACGGATCTTGGAGATGAGGAGCGTACCCATACCGGCACCAGTACCACCTCCGAGGGAGTGGGTGATCTGGAAACCCTGGAGGCAGTCGCAGCCCTCGGCCTCGCGGCGCACGACGTCGAGGACCTGGTCGACGAGCTCGGCACCCTCGGTGTAGTGACCCTTTGCCCAGTTGTTACCAGCACCAGACTGGCCGAAGACGAAGTTGTCGGGGCGGAACAGCTGGCCGAAGGGGCCGGCGCGGACGGCGTCCATGGTACCGGGCTCGAGGTCAACGAGGACGGCACGGGGCACGAACTTGTTGTTGGACGCCTGCTGTAGATCAGTATTGGTCTTTTATCTGCCAAAAGCGTAATCGAGGGACGCACTTCGTTGAAGTAGACATTCATGCGCTCGAGCTGCAGGTCCGAGGTGCCGTTGTAGACACCGGAGCCGTCGAGGCCATGCTCGCCGGAGATGGTCTGCCAGAAGGCGGCACCGATTTGGTTACCCTGGGCAGTGTTAGCTGTCGTCTGTACACAGAGGAGCGATATCAAAACTTACGCATTGACCGGTCTGAAGGTGAACCTGTTGCAGAGAAACGCCGTTAGCTGTTGTTCTTTGTTGTCCCTGAGTCTCGGCGCGGGGCAGCGACGCGCCACGACTAGGCGGCAGTGCGGGCGATACGTACAATCTCACGCATGTTGGCGGTTGGGGGCGAGGAATATGGAAGTTGGAGAGGTGAAGATGCGAGGAGCTGGGTTATGGCTGGTCGCTGGTGGTGGTGCTGGTGTGGAGAGCAGGAGGAGCAGAAGCGGTGAGTGCGTTAAAGATCTCTGTGGGTCGTCTGCACGGGCCGTCGGCGCTAAAGCTATTTACTAACAACGCGCCAAAGCTGGTGCCTGCCGGCTGAAGGGGCTAGTCATGAACATGTACAGCTGCACTAGCAAGGCACAAGTCGTTGCTGTCGAATGGCTTCGTCGCTTTGCAGTATCTTGTATTACTGGCTGGTTTCATGTCGTGATAGACGTGCTACTGGAGGCGGTTGCGGACTTGTTGTTCCCATCCCATCCCCTATCAAATCCGCCTATCCGTATCGTCGTTCGCAGCGCAGAATACCGCACAACGCTGATCTTGCAAAGCACATGCATAAATCCTCCCTGACACGCGAACCTAATCCTGCCCAAGACTCCACGTCGTCACCGCCTATAGCTCCTTCTTCGTTGAGCCATTTGCATGACCACCTGCCTGTCGCTTGACAACCTGCGGCATCGTCCAGAAGTTTGGCCAGTAAAGCTCATACTCGTCCTGTCTGTAGTTGAGGCAGTGTCGCAGCCATACGCCCCATACAATGTAGTAGTAGGCTCCAGTTCCCGTCATGAGATGCCTGGTATTGTGAGCTTTCGTCTTTCTAAGATGAATGTGATACTCACCACCAGCCGTGACCCTCGAGCACGAAACCCCAGGGCATACCAATCTCCCTTCGCCACTGGATCAACTGCGAGCAATGCACGTTGTCGAGGTGCCAGACAGCAAAGCCTCCCAGGAAGATGCTGAGGCCGAATCCAATCATCTGCCACATCTTACTGAGAATTTCCTGGTCGCGCACGTCTTCTCTCTCTTGTACCGCCTTTACACCTCCGTGCGGCCGCGGGTTCGCTGCTTCCCTCTCCTTGGACTTGAAGCGCGGGCGGATGTTCACCTCCATTACATACATGGCGCGGAACAGGACAATCGCTGTGAGAATCGCATAGGCGTTCTGATGGAAGGTGGGGTCCTGGAGGAAGTGGTAGTAGAGCGTAATGAAGGCGGCAAGAGACACAAGCCCAATTGCAAGAACCGTAGAGTACAGCCTTGACTTGCCATAAGAGAACGTCGCAAAGTTCATCAAGCAAGTTGTGTAGATCATCGAAAGCTCGTCTACCAACTGCATAGGATCTGACACGTATCAGATACTGCGTGTGAACGATTGATTCAGCAGCGAACATACATTTCAATGTCGCGTGAAAGAGAAAGCTCCCAGTTCCAACCAGTAGATAGCCAATAAACGCCACGAGAAAGACGGTGTCATGTCCATTCTTCAAGCAATTGCGTATGCCTTTTGCAGCGAGGTACATGAACAGCAGATTCGTGAGCGTGTTGATAATCTCCGCAGAGTACTGCGTGACTACATAATTCTTCAAACGGTTAGCATGCGCATCTTCAACGCAATGACCCTCTCAACTAACCTCTTCACACCAATCGAGAGTAGAGGTGACCGGGGAGAAGAACCCATCTTGTTCAGGCGGGTACGGTATCGACGGTAGACGGGAAAAGAACGCAGCCATCTTCACTCTACAAGAATCCTGAAAAGAGAAAAAGAAAGAAGTGAGAGGTTGAGGAAAGAGAAACTGCAGGTGTTTGACCTCGCTATCAAGCTTGTATCTAGCACCGGCTTTTGCGGAAGGAAAGACTGGAGAGCGACAATCCGCGACACGAGAGGCCCATGCTCCAACGATAGGCTGCCAGACTACCACGCCACACGTGGGCAAACAGTAAGGATTACTGCGCAAAAGGAATCACCCCCAGCACGCATTCATACCATCAACGTATACCTCTCGCACACGTCGGAAAGCTTGGCTCCCGAGGCTGCAAGCTCACGGTGCAGTTTTCGGTGGTGAATCCAATTAGCCAATCACGTCCGCCCAGGGTCTCTCGCAACTGCCGAACCGAGAAAGCTTGAGAAGCAGCAGCCAGGCCAGCGCTCTCACGAGACCTACGAGCCAATCGTCAACATTACCAAATCTCCGCCCACCATGTCCATGTCAAACGAGGCCTTGCAGAAGGTGCGTCAATCATTGCGATGTGATGGATAGAGAAAAGAGCGGGGATCTAACGCGGAAACACCCAGGTCCTACAAGAAATCAGCCAAAAGAAGGCCTTCGCCGAACAACAACTCGTCATTGTCAAACAACAAAAAGCCGCCCGGACGCGAGAGGGGCGTATGTTGCAACTCACCTCCTCGGAAGTTTCATCGCTGCCTGCAGAGACGAAGGTGTATGAGGGTGTGGGCAAGATGTAAGTTGCATCTCTCGATAATTTGCCCCTCGCGACAGCGGGGGGTGAAGTGAGATGAGATGAAATGCAGAGACTGATTGCTATGAACAGGTTCGTCTGCACGCCTATTCCAGATGTGCAGAAGAGGCTCCAGGAGGAGAGTGAGGCTTTGAACAAAGAGATGACGAATCTGGATAAGAAGGAGGATTATCTGGAGAAGACGTATACGAACAGCAAGAACAGCCTTGAGCAGGTGCTGAAAGGCGCGGCTTGAGTGTGCTGTCGGTAATCCGTCATAGTCATGAGATCGATTCAAAAAATCGGAATGAGTGGTTAGGAAGACTAGAAAGAGTCTACCAAAATGTTTGCTCTTGCCACCGAGTTCTGCAAAGGCACTGGCGAACAACAGCTTCTAGTCTACAGATGATAGCAGGAAGTTGGTAGTAATACAGCCATAAATCCAATACGATATTGATAACACACAGACCATTAGAATCGTTGACGAACAGTTACACCACGAGATGATCGACGATAGTCGCGGGACTATGAAGTAAAGTGTCTATTTCGCTTTTATCATGCCTCTATCTCTCACCCTACCGCATCCTAACGAGCATCGCCTCAACACCCTCCAAGCACTTCCTCACCTCCTCTGCCGCCCTCGCTACATACGCTCCATCCACTACCCTATGATCAGCACTCCAGCTAAACACACACTCCTCCCTCTTGATCAGCTCGTCATTCTCCCCAAACGCCGGTACAACTCTCGCTTTCCCGATACCCAAAATACCAACTTGAGGTCCAACGATAACAGGTGCCACAGCACCGCCGCCTATGCTACCAATGTTGCTGACTGTGAAGGTCGCGCCAGTGAGATCAGCGGATGAGAGTTTGCCAGCGCGTGCCAGCGAGCTGAGGCGTTGGATCTCTTGGGCTAGCGAGGCGATGCTGTGGTTTTGGACGTTCTTAATGACGGGGACGAGGAGTCCCGCGGGCGAGTCCACTGCTACGCCGATGTTGTGGCTTCCCTTTAGTATGATTTGTGGCTTGTTTGGGTTCGTGGTAGTGTCGAGATGTGAGTTGAGTAGCGGGAATTGCTGGAGCGTGAGCGATACGGCCTTGATGATGATTGGCAGCGGCGTTATCCGCTCTGGCTTTTCGCGGCCTGTGTTGTACTTTTTGCGGAGCGAAGTGAGGGAGCTGAAGTCTACAGCGTCGGTGTATAGGAAGTGGGGGATGGACAAAGATTTGGTCATCTGCTTGAACATGCCAGACTGAACTGGGGTCAATTGCTTGACTTGGTCCTCCATTTGTTGTGTGATCATAGGGGCCGGGGTCGAGGTTGCCGATGGTGTTGTAGTGGTTTGCTTCATCGATTCGACGTGCCGTTGTACATCGTCCTTGAGTACGCGACCCTCCCGTCCTGTGCCTTCTATATCCTCGATCTTGAGCTTGTGCTCCTTGACCATATGTCGTACAGCTGGGGTGGCGAGCGATGCATGCTTTCCTGGCTGTCTTTGTGTTGTGGATGGTTCGGATGGTAGACTCGTGCTTTGATCTGAGCCAGGCACGTCTTCAGCCGCAGCCTTTGTGTCATTCCTCCCAAGTTCAATCCCCTGTTCTTGTGGCTCTACAGAGCTTTGTGCTTTTTGTTCTTGGGTGCCGCCGCCTCCGGTGAGTAGGACCTCGTCGTCTTGTTTGCCTGATCCTCCGTTGAGCAGGGCTTCGTCGGCAGGAGAGATGTCGCTTTGAATGTCGATGTCTACTAGAGGCTTCTGAAGTCAGCTCATGGTCGGTATTACGTTCCGAACTTCAAGCTTACCTTTCCAACCTTCGCCATATCATCCGCCTCGTAGTACAACTTCTTGATGATGCCATCGAATCTCGAGGTGATCTGCCGGGAATTAGTCCTCGTCCTACTTGTATCCTAGACGGCATGTACCTCGACAGATGCTTTATCCGACTGCACTTCGCAGATAGGGTCGAATTGCTCGACGCGCGCGCCGGGCTTCACGAACCATTGGATAACCTGGCATTCGGTAATACCTGGGCACAGCATGATTAGCCGCAGCCACCAGCATCTCTGACTCGCCTACTTACCTTCTCCAATATCCGCCAAAAGGTAAGGCTTGACGACCAATAGCCGCTTTGTCCCCCGAAACCCTCTTCTCTGCTCGTGTATGCGAATGTTTGCATTCCTGGGTGCAGTAATTGACGCGCGGTGGGCGAGGTTTGGGCGCGAAAACACGCGGGATGCTTCTCTGCTGGCGAATGACTTCATGGTGGGCGTGATTTTTGTGCAGATTCTTTCTGTGAAAGAAACATCTTCATGTACTGCCGCCGAGGTTTGGTATTGTGAACGACCAAAGCCGACAGTTACCGCAGCCGATGACACAAGTGGAAGCTGGGGTAAGCCACTAGCGAGTTTGGGGTATAGCGTTTCGCGGGTTAAGGAAACAGGGGTCCGTGTGCACAATCTCGTGGGTACAACGGCACATAGTCTCACTGTTTGGAATGACTGGTATTCTGCAGGTGCATGAGATCAGATATTTGTGGTTGTGAATTAACATCTCTATTCTCGTACCCCTTTGACGAGGCACTACTCCCACCCTGTGACGAAAAGATTTCTCCGATACGCAGTAGCTAGGTAATTATCTGCATGTCACGATGCGTACATATGCAGAAATACCTATACTTAATCTGACTTCCATGTAATACACGAGTGCTTCGGCATATGGCTGCGGTCACAATTGTAATGACCTCGAAATGACCATCCATATACATGTTCATATGCTACACCGCTGGTCCCCTCCCGATCCACAGTCTGAAGCTACGGAAAGGGCCTCTCCTCTTATCTGTGTTGTTGTACTGGAACCCAGGACCTAGTGTCAATTGATTGGTGTTGAAGTACAGCCATCCATCCCAGATAGCCATAGAATCAGCATGTTGAATCATCGCGTTCCTCACCAACGTCTTCACTACATAGTCATTCGGTGGAACGAGACCAGATCCTCCAGGCGCATTGCCGTTGACTGTCATGTTGGTTTCAGACTCCAGCGTATCGGCGTAGTATATCGCGTTCTGTTCACTCGCTGCGATGTATACTCGGCCGCGATCGTCAGCAGTAAAGCCAGCTTGCTCGGAACCGCATTGGCCTGGATTCTGTACGGCGGCAAGGACTTCAGTGTCTGTCAAACTTTGGTCGACTAGAATGTCCTGAGAGATGTAATAAAAGCGACGGGAGGCTAGAACGCCCCAGTAGAAGTTGCCGGATGCTATGATTCCGTCAGTAACATGAGCACACATCAGCTGAATTTCACGTACCCAAGGCGATGCCATCTGCGGCAGTCGTGAGATGACCTTTTTGTGTGCCATTCCAGGTGTAGATGAGCTCGCCGCCATATGAACCGACGTACTTCTCGTCTGCTCGAACAACACTCGTATTGAACAGTCTGCGTACCGCATTGCCGTTCTCGAGATCCACCGCTAGCAACGAGCTGTTCTTGCTAGCATCAGTGATGAAAGCATATCCTTCTCGTCCACCCAAAGTCGTATTGACACGCATGTCGTTCATATTCATCCGATGCGACAATAGATCCTGGGGTATCACATAGGTCTGAAGATGCTCTGCCGTCGTCTCATTGAAGCTCATGAGCTTTGCACCTCCAAATAGCGCATTGGTGTCTGGGCTGGCGTGGGCTGGAATTCCGCTGTCAACCACCCACAGCCTTCCCCGGTCGTCGAGAACAATGTTCTGGACGTTGATGAAACAGGTTGCCGGATCCTGACCGGCGGTGCAATTCTGGATAGCTGCATTCGGCCATGGTTCTTCGTCGTTGTACGATGTGCAAACAACCACGTTGCTTGGTGTCTGGTCTGAGTTGCGAGGATATGTCAGGTAGAGATTGTGCGCGGAATCGACGGCCAGACCGGTGGAGGGCTTTTGAGAGTCGTGGATAGGTTGTAGAGGAGGGCCAACGAGTGTGAAGTCTTGGGGATAGGCACCAATGGTATATCCGGGAGCGAAGGGATGATAGTCTCCTGATGATACCTCAAAATAGTCTGATGCCAGTGAGATGGGAGCAAATCCCAACGCCAGTGCTATGAATCTCATCTGGACGGTACAACAACGACCTCGGGATGTCTCGGAGGCTGCAGGGTTTCTGAGGCTATGTTGAGAAATTGCAGCGGGCTGTTGTTCTCACAATTAGGTCAGTCAAACGTGAAGTCTTACGCCTAGAGATGAAAGAAGTCGAGGAGCTTCACTGAAATAACGTTCAGAGGTCCCATGGTTCCCGCCCGCGTCCGTCTGTTGAGGGGCCCGAGGGAAACTATGACCTCCGCGTGAGCTACGTATCTATTGGTTACCAGCCACATGGAGACATGGTAAAGTCCAGGTAATCCATGAGGATAAAGAGGGGTACCTGATTTCCCGGGGGTAAATGTAGGCTGCATGTCGCAATACATTTATTAATGCTGATAGGCATGTACACGTGTAAGCATTGCACGCGGTTGTGAACGCGTGCCATCGGGTTCCCGTCAATTTCGATGCAGGCAATTAGTCCTCAAGCCCAGCAGCAGAACATCGGAAAGTTAAAACAACACTTGGTGATGAAATGACATCCGGATCGTCCTAAAACTAGTCGCGGGCTGATCGATCGAGATGATGGTGCGGGAATGACGTTTTGGCGCGGAAGGAGAGGGCGCACGACCCTTCGTGATTCGCGACTGCCGAAACGCGTCTGCTAAGGAAGGCACCGCCAGCACTCACAACAAACGACACGGATAGCCATGCGTAGTTCCGATGTCCACCTACGCATTGCAAACGAAGACAATGCTACATTCAGCCTCTGAGACGCCCACGCAGTTGTTACGACTAGCCGCCAAACGCGACGAATCCAAGGCCCAGTTGCCCTCGAAGCAGACGAGAGACTCTCTCTGCGGTCTCGGAGCTTTCACCAAGCCGTTCACGATCAGAGAGCACTCTGGCTCACCGTACAAAAATAAGCCCACCACCTTCAGACCCGTACGAGTAATTGGACGTTCCCAGCTGCCTCTGACCTTCCTCGACATCTCCGCCGACGAGAACTTCGCCCCGAACAGCCTCTTCGCGGCACACATCGATATACTGGAGGTTGGAGAATGTGATAGTCAAGACCATGCAGGCCCCAAGATACTCGTCGCACGTTTCGAGGCAAAGAATCTACTATACGCCATAGAGCGAGTGAAGCCACGCGTCTATAGTATCTGCAAGCTTGCGGGCTGGCTCAAAGAGAAGGATGTCACAGACTTGTGGGACCCCAGAAATCTCCAGAGGCTGCAAACACGCCCAGGATCAGAGACGAATGCGGCCGTACAAGGAGAATGGTGGCAACAGGCCGCTGTGGAGACACACACTGTGGACCCACCACCCAGACGAGCGCGAATGACGATGATGCGACCGAAGTTACAACCAGAGATAAAGAAAGAGCATGCACACCAACCGGACCTGGCTTTAGAAGCCCCGAGCAGCGAATACCTGGATACGACTTCCACGGAATTCCCTCTAGAACCTATGCCCGACGCGCCATCGCCACAAGAGCAACTTGCCTTGCTCGTCCAACAATATTTGGATGCAATTTACATGTCCAAAACCTCACTGGCATACCTAGCGAAGGGCCCAATCACTCGAATCCGGAACACATTTACTTCAGCTGAAGAAGGAGCACCGCCTACCCATGAACTTGTCACATTCTTGAGAACTATGCTGCTGAGTCCAAAGGCCAGCGAGAAGAAATATCACGAAAAACTACCATCCTTGATCAAGGAGATGCCGCCCGGGAGCTACTCGGATGATGAGCACGGCCCAAGTGTCAGCAAGCCGAAGAAGTCGAAGAAAAAGATGAAACTCAGTCGGGAGGGTGTATACCCACAGGAGGAGGCATTCGTCAGGAAGTGGTGGCAGTCGGAATTGCCAAGTGGCGACAGTACGGCTCCAGAGACTCTAGACCAGCGTATCAAGAGGCGCATTGGAGATTTGCGGGTTCGCGAGACGCTTGCGCAATTGATTCTCATGCTCGAAATTGTTGCACTAGAGACACTCTCCACACAGAAACCACCAGAGCAACAAGCTACCGCAGACGGAAGTCAAGCCCAGACTGAGCAGCCGATCCCGAAGAAGCGCAAGAACAAACTTGATGACATCAACCTACAACTCGATTTGCTGCTGGACAAGCTTTGCATCTGGCACGCTACGGAAGAACTAGGTATACTAGATTTTGATGACAAGCCGTCACGACAACACGACGGACCCGATGGATCTGGACGAAACAATTCGAACGATCGCCTGCACAGCTTCTGCGTCGAAGTCATTATCCCCTTCTACATCAACCGATTACCAGAGCAGGCGCTTATGGTGAATAAGAAGCTGGGTGGGCCCACACATAGCTTACCAACAAAACGCAAAGCTGCCAGGCCACCACTCACCTCACGCAAATCCGGCAGTTCGAAGGAACCCGAGGCAAAGAAGTCACGGCGATCGCTGGCCCGGGTCGCTACCGACAACACGGGACGGACTACTGAGCGAATAACACCGTCCCTGAGCCGATCTGCCACTGATTCCGCGCTGTTAGATGGCATCAAACGAGAAGGCAGCGAGGTACCTCTCTCAGCCATACCTTTCCGACGCAGTCCATCTAAGAGCGCTCGGCAATCGATGTCCCAGATCCGACATCTGCAGGGCCGTCAAATTGATCTAGCGGAGCCTTCGGCTGCTGCATCAGCTAAGATAAAGCACAAGCAACGTGTGGAGGAAGATCTTCAAGAGGCTATTTTAGCTTTGAAGAAGCCCAACCGTGGACTAGCTGCTGGTGGCTACATTGCCGACATCGAGCAACGTGGTCTGGGTTTGCCCAAACAGTCGAGAAAGCCAACAGTCACTGTGAGGAAGACCATCAGGGACGTTCAGGTGTCAGCGACACCCCGGGCTGGGCGGAGGACGAAGAATTTGGTTGAGCAGACGCCAACCCACCATCACTACGATCCGTTCGTTAGACCTCCCGGAGCGGAAGCGCCCCCCTCCAGCGAGTTCTGCGTGCCGTCCTCTGGAGTCCGCCCAGCAGCTACAATGGTGCCGGTAACGGGCCACCGCCACTCGACGGCTCGAAGTCTAGCGCAGTCCGGTATTGCCGAGACACCGTCCAAGGCGCCAAACAGCCTACCATTCTCTACAGACTCGGTTAGGAGGAAGATCTTTGCAACCCCATTGAAGGCGGCGGCGTCTTCTTCTGACGGCAGGGGTTCTGCACAATCACACGTGTTCGAAACTCCTGTCAAACCTACAGGTAGTCCGCCTCCTAATGACGCCCAATTCGCACCTGCTGCGATTGCTGCCACACCTACCAAGCCCGCGTCTGCAACAGCGAATAAGGTTGCACCGATCGCGCTCGCATTCGTAAACAAGCATGATGCTGAGCCATCGATATACGATGCCTTGGGATGGAACGACGATGATGATGGATTTTGATATACTTACGTGAGATTGTTGCATATTGATGGCACTGAATTAGCGAGCACACGATTGATTGGCATGCATCGGAGCATTGGGCGGCGTGTACAGCATTCTGGAATTTGCGTGGGCGTACGAGACGATGGTGTAGTTACACGGTTCATGATTCCCCTGGGTAATTACTAAGAGGCCAGCACAGCGCAGTAAGCTCAAATATATGCTCTCGCACACGTTCCAAGCTCAGGCCGCCGTGTCCCCATAGAGTGCAGACTATGCTTACTTGAAGAGGACAAGCCCGTGGTCAGCGCACGCCTGCGGTGACGATGGCTGGTCTGGGCGACCATGGAACGAAAGAGGAATTCTTTCGCGTGTCTGTGTATCGTGTCCGTGAAGCGTTCCACAGTGTTTCTTTCGGGGAATTGCATGTGCCCGCGACGCGATGCCATAGTGTGATCGTGTGAGGCGACAGGTACCCGCGCCGTGAGGAACCAGGGATCGTCGCTATAGCGTATATTAGAGCCGGCGTCCCTTGCAGTAGACGACTTGGGCCCACGCCGGATAGGAGAGACGGCCACTCACAGCACAGCGCACCCGTGGCCGCGGTGGTAATTTGCCGGGGATCACCAACAGTCGGCCCTTAGCCTATGCCCCTAAAGACGCCTCCAGTTGCCGGCTGGTCCATGCAGCCGTGTGTCCAAAGGCCTAATCACGCTGAAATTATGAAAATCAGAGAGACGCGCCTGGTGTCTCTCACTTCTCGAGTCCTGATTTCCCTGCCCTTACACTGCCCGACTTGGATCACACAGGAAGCTCGCGTCGCCAAACCTCGGACCCCGAACATGCTGAGTACTGCAGCCAAGCTAAGGTAGCCGACCCATTTGGACAACTGCAGTAGCCATGGCTGTCGCTGCGGCTTCCCGTCCTGCGCCCCATGGACAGCGCTCGCCAACCCTCAGCGATGCGGGCATGATCCTCCCCTCGTTCGAGGCCGACTTTGAGCGCGCTGCCTCTCCGCCCGTTGCTGAGCGCCCGCCCTCGCCGTCCGACCTCTATAGGCACGCAAACTCCAGCCGAGTCAGATTAAGTTCCGCACCGCAGGGCCGGCGCCGCGCCTCGCAACAGACGAAATCCCCGTCCCTATCAGCACAGTCCTCGCGCTCCACGCTGCGCAACATGCCCGACTCAGACGCGCCTACTAAGAGTGTGCCTGCCCGTGACGATGCCCTCGCTTCGTCGCCCACCATCCAGAATGCCCTGAGCCGCCATTCACCCAGCACGTGGCACGGGCAAGATCAGCACAAGATCAGCCCTACTTCCAGCTCGGTGTTCAGCGAAGACTTCGAGCACTGGCCGGGGTTTGACAGCCACGACAACTTTGAGGACAGCGGCGTGGATCTCGAAGAGCAGGAAAAGCGCAACCACCACACCCGGGACAGCGACGCCGGCAACGGCATGGGCAGCGAGCGGTGGCACGAGGATCGCACCAGTGGCAGTGACGACGAAGACGACCCGTACTCGTCGGCTGCATTGAGTAGGAGGGCAGAGATAATCCTGGCCAATGCGAAGAAGCGGCTGAACGTATGCGCTTCTGGATGCTGCCACACATCGAACGATTGCTAACGGGAACAGGTCATGGAAGGAAACCTCCGTGGTGCGCGAGAGTCACTGGTCGTCTCACCCACGTTCCACTCAAGAAACACATCTTCCGACTTGACCTCGCATATAGCGGCCAGTCGCGACCGAGACCGACGACTGTATGCTGGCATGGGCCCGATTCCTCCGCGCATCAACTCTTATCGACAATCTCTCCTCACCCCGAACGGTAGCCCCAGCCATGCACGCGGTCTGAGCGAGACATCGGTGCCACTCCCTTTCACGCCTTCCTACTCGTACCTGACCCGGACTACATCCAACAAGCGCGCATCGAGTGCATTCGGCCATACCAGCGGCCCGTGGTCGCCTGAGAGCTACGGCCAGGGGCGTTTCCCCATCAAGGAGTCTCGAAGCGTGGAACATCTCCGCAACCCTCGCTCAACCTGGAACAGCAGCGAACGCGAGTATGCTGCAAGATCCGCCTCGAGGAGCTCACGATCCCCAACTGCACTAGAGACTTTGCCAGAGGATGAGGACGGACAGAGGGTGCATCGCTCCACATCTGCAGCCAGTGGTCTCCGCGACCAGATGAACGATCTCAAGGGTAGAATCTCTAGTCTGAAGCTCAAGGCGCAAGAAGACCACCTCCGACGCAGAAGCATACAGAGCCTACGCGCACCGAGCCCCTTTACGTCTTCTGATACATGGCATCCAAGAAGCACACCGACAAACGCTGGCTTGGGCATTACGACGGACCCATACGAAGAACAGGAGCGACCCTTGACCGCCACGACCACCAACTCCCAGAAGCACGGTGAGAAGCTAGTGACGCACTTCAGCAAACTAAATGGGACTAATGGACACCCGTACTCTGTCCAACCATACGACCAGGCTGAGGCTGAATCAACCGACCCGGAAGCGTACGAAGACGAAGATGCGGACGAGACTGAGGAGTCAGACTTCGTTTCGGTCAATGGAGATGAAGTACCTGATCCGGAGAGTGTATACGAGGACGCTGTCTACGAGATGCCTACCACTGAGCGCCACGAGGACCGCGTAGATGCGTTCGACTACGAGACCTTCTTCTTGCACAGTGCAATGGGCACCTACAGCGTGGAAGATCGCCGATCGAGTACTAGTTCGGGCTCCTCTGCCGCAACTACGCGGCCCGTGACAGCTGTCCAGACAACGGATGAACTCGGCATTGGCGAGAAGAGAGCGTCATTCCACCAGCGGAATCCCAGCGTTGACTCGGTCTCCACTGTAGCCACGTTCGCGACTGCAGCTGAAGAACAAAACGACGATGAAGAAGAAGAGAATGAGCAGATGGATCAGTTCTCTCAGCAGATACTGTCCAACCAGAACCGATCTGTCTCGCGCCCAGGGACACAGAACGGCCTCCTCTCTCTGCGTTCTGATTCAGCAATCAACATGCGACGCGCTAATGGCTCGTCTCCATCGCAGAGGTCACTATCACGTGGCTCGTCTTCGCCTGGAGAGCTCGCCAGCGGACTCCAAACCTCGAGGATATACTCCATCCTCACTGAAGGCTCCAGAGACGAGCCACGGGTGGCACTAAGCGAAGAAGAGACGCAGCTCATCTACGGCCTGGCTGCGAGTATCCAGAACGTGTGCTCCAACCTACAGCACACCTACGGCGATGCCTACGAACGCAAGGCATGGCGACGAAGACTTGACGAAGCCCGCAAAATACTTAATGGCGAGGGCGAGGATGGTGCAGACGACCAATCCTTCTAATGCTCCGCAGTTAGCCCTCGAACTTTCCTTTCTCAGACTTACGGTAATGTCTAACTCGACTGTAGCGGTTTAGCGTCACTCGTTTCCACCTTTTACGAGCTTACTCCCTATCATGTGTAATTTGGGACATCCCCCACTTTCTTTTCGACTTCACCATTTCCTTTGCTTTGGCAGATTTGCGGTGTGTTTTTTGTAGGAGGTCACGACTTTGGAACTATAGATAATTTCTCTTATGTGTATTGATACCCGGGAGGCAGCGGCGGGGTCACAGGACTCCGGTGTATGTGGACACGTTTTTTGTTCACGCGTTTGCAAGTACTTCTTAGCTCTAGAATCTAACATGCCCGTCATCCATGTACGTAGGGCTGCGAGAACCAATCTACGATCTACCAACCCAGCACGTTGGGCCTGACCGAGTGTCAAAGTCATGCCAGCGCCCGTGTCTAGAAAGCCGTCAGAAGACGGTGGAACGACGGGGTGGAGTCGGCGCGAGATTTACCCCTCCCGAGGCTGTCACGAACCTAGATCCATGGGAGGATTGCCTCCAAGTTTGGGGAGAGCGCCCCACCAAACACCGTCACGAAGCCATTGCATGCATGCAAAATACAGACTGCTGTGCGTTGTTCATGTACCATCGTGGACAACGAGGAGCGACGGCAGGCCTAATGCACGTCTGCGACGCGTGCAGGTTTGCCGCGCTCAGCGATGGAGCGCGATGTGTGCCGACAGCGCGCTACGATTGGATCGCGCACGGCAACGCTGGACTGGCGGTGTAGATGTCGGCCGTGGTAACCACTGCAACTGAAGCTGCCAACAGCACGGATACCCACTAGAGCCTCCGCAATTGGCCCACCGCGGCGTGGCTGGGGGCGTGCTAGACAGAGAGGGATGGTTCCGGAGGGCCATGCGCTGAACTGAAGCACAACATTGAATTATCCCACGACAGGCTCATGCAATGCGCCCCGGCTCTAACCCTAAAATTTTGCCCAGCGGAATAACTCCAGCCTGCCGCCCGCATCGCGCATCGACGTTTCCCTGCGTCTGATCGCATCGACACATCTCACGATAGCTGGGCCAACCCTCTGCTCAGCACCCGCCGCCGCCCACAGCTCCGGCCGAATACCCCTCGACTCACACCCCTCATTTTTCGACATCTCGCCTGCGGCTGGTCCGGGCGCGTGTGTGACGAAGGTGGATGAAACGAACCGCAAGCTCCAACCGGCTTGGTGCGCGCAACGACTAAAGCCTATTCGACCCCGATAACGATTGGCGTTGCGGAAACACATCCATACACACCACACAGTCCTTGTGACCACTCGCGACGCCTGCTCCCCTGCTTTCGCCTCTGACGCTCACTGAATCTGAATCTGCACGGCGCCCGTCTCCTGCATACTCCGTGCACTCTGTACCTGCTGCGACTGCGACTGTCTTATTCGACCTGTGCCGATCGCCGCGTCTTGGAGTTCTAATATTTGGCCCGTATAATCTGCGACGGATTGCATCACCATCGTCACCTGTTGAGGGCCGCAGTCCTGCCCTCGTGTACTACTAGAGCTCGCCGCATCGAGACCCTGCAGCAGCAGACCAGGACCGCGAAGGAAGTCACGCTGCACCAGCCCGCCCCCGTACCGTATACGAAAACACCTGCCGCCCGCGCAATTGCAACC